CCACCACCATCACCAATACTACCAACAACATCACCGCCACCATCACCACCACCACTATCACCATTACTACCAACCAGCATCACCACCACCATCACAACCACTACTAACCAGCATCACCACCATCACCATTACTACCAACCAACATCACTGCCACCATCACCATTACTACCAGCATCACTGCCACCATCACCATTACTAGCAACATCACCACCACCATTACTACCAACAAACATCACCACCACCATCACCATTACTACCAGCAAACATCACAGCCACCATCACCATTACTACCAACCAGCACCACCGCCACCATCACCATTACTACCAACCAACATCACCGCCACCATCACCATTACTACCAACATCACTGCCACCATCACCACCGCCACCATCACCATTACTACCAATAACATCACCGCCACCATCACCACCGCCACCATCACCATTACTACCAACATCACGGCCACCATCACCACCGCCACCATCACCATTACTACCAACATCACCATCACCATTACTACCAACATCACTGCCACCATCACCACCGCCACCATCATCATTACTACCAACATCACTGCCACCATCACCATTACTACCAACCAGCATCACTACCATCACCATTACTACCAACATCACCATCACCATTACTACCAACATCACTGCCACCATCACCACCGCCACCATCACCATTACTACCAACATCACCATCACCATTACTACCAACAACATCACTGCCACTATCACCATTACTACCAACCAACATCACTGCCACCATCACCATTACTACCAACCAGCATCACTGCCATCATCACCATTACTACCAGCATCACTGCCACCATCACCATTATTACCAAGCAGCATCACCACCACCATCACCATTACTACTAATATCATCACCACCGTCACCATTACTACCAACCAGCATCACCACTGTCATCATCACCATTACTACCAAACAACATCACAGCCACCATCACCATTACTACCAACCAGCATCACCACCACCATCACCATTACTACCAACCAACATCACCGCCACCATCACCATTACTACCAACATCACCGCCACCATCACCACTGCCACTATCACCATTACTACCAACCAACATCACTGCCACCATCACCATTACTACCAACCAGCATCACCGCCACCATCACC